TCTCCATTATTTCCCAAACTTAACAGTGCAGGTCTTTAAAAAGGCATTCATATTGAGGATTTATTGTTACTTCCAAGTTGGGAAAATAATGCTTCCTAATGCCAGTTGTAAGGGGACAACAGAGTTACTGGGCTACATAGAGGGTAAATATACTTGCCTTTTTTGAGAATGGGGAACTGAAAACTGAGACACATATACATTTAATGTGTTTTGAAGGAAATCAGTTAGCATTTCTCCTTGCTTATTTTTATCGCAAGTTTCAGTTTAAGTTCAAGCATTATGCATTTTTTCCATGAAACCAACACAAACATAAATCAAAATCAGCAATTATCCCAAAAGCAAAAGAGTTAATACCATCTTTAGGTTTTAATACGTGGACATGAGATTGAATCCAGTCTAACATGTGACTTGATAATCATCTTTTTGCTATGTTTTGAGTACTATTTGAAAACTCACCTGCCCTACCATACACCTCTTCAAGTATTCCCTTGTGGGCCACAAATGTAGCATTCAACTAAAAAAAGAACTTTGATGCAGAAAATATTTTTTTGTGGAAAGTAGAACATAGAATAATGAAGAATAGCGGGGCTGCAAGGGGCCTTGGAGGTCTTCTAGCCCAACCCCCTGCTTGAGAAGGAGACCATATACCATTGCAGACAAATGGTTGTCCAATCTCCCGAAGCTAGGCATTTGTGAAAGGGTAATGTTTGTAAATGGAAATGCTTTAATGCAGAAACCGGCAGATGAAGTTTGGATCCAGAGATCAGGAAGAAATACAGTGACTCAACAGTTTTATACTAAAATTCAAGTTTAGCAGGATGAAATTCTCTTTCTTTGTCCAAATCTTCATACGCCTAATAAAGCTTCCAATGTTGCACCTAGACTTATTGTATATACTTCCCACATTATGTTGCTTTGCAAACCAGCCTCTGGTCTCTGTAGACATATCATATTCTTCTATGTCTTTAACTGCATTTTTGCTGTTATATTCAGTAACAGTAATAATTTGGAATTTGCTGCTTATCAAACCCCTACAAACTTTCAGGTAATCCTCTAAAATCATATAAAACTACACAAAAAATAGCAAGAAAAGTTTTATATGTATAGGTAAAAAACGTACTCCATTATATTTTAATGATAACAGAATTGCATATAACTTTTCTTTTGGGGGTTTTTTTCCCATCTTTTTCAGTTTGGATGTCAACAATCATTTCCAGAAAACCATTCTGTAAAATTTTCAAATAAAAATGATAAAAAAAAATTAAAATAAAAATGCTAATTTCATGTTCTTACATTTATTTTGTTTTTCACCCTTTTACAACAACAGGCTGTTTCTTACCATGCCCTTTAGAGTCAAATCTGCAAGGGGAGATCGGTTGCCATGGAAATCTGGCCAAACATGTAAATCAACAGTGAGCAAACCCACAGGCAAAGATTTCTTAATCAGATCCAGGTGACCATTCAAGTATGTATATATACTTTGAGCTCTGCAAGAAAAACAAATGAAAAAAGAAGAAGAAGAAGTGAGTTGAGCTGGGGGAGAAAGATTATTCTCTGAACATATTGCATGATTTGGACTCCTAACACAAATTAGGAAAGGCTTGCAATATGAAACTATAAAGGAATGAGGAAAGAGAATATGTCATAAGTCAAGGACTGCCTGTACTTGATATATGGGGTTTCTTCTGAAGCAGAATTAGGACATAATTTCAATATCAGCAAGAAAGCAAACTGTACTACAATGCTAAAGCACAGTTCCCTGTAACCAAGTCTTGTTCAGAATTAGATTCTCAAATTGCAGAAGGTTAACTGAGTCTTAATGATATTTTATATTGGTATCTGTTCACTGAGTATCCTACCAGAAGTTTAAGGACTGCTATCTTTGTACAATCAGAATAGAGCTGGAAGGGACCTTGCATGCCTTCTAGCCCAATTCCCCGCTCAAGCAGGAGACCCTAAACCAGGGGTCTCCAACCTTGGCAACTTTAAGGCTTGTGGACTTCAACTCCCAGAGTTCCTCAGCCAGCTTTGCTGGCTGAGGAACTCTGGGAGTTGAAGTCCACAAGTCTTAAAGTTGCCAAGGTTGGAGATCCCTGCCCTAAACCATTTCAGACAAGTGACTGTCCAGTCTTTTCTTAAAAACCTGCAGTGATGAAGCATCCACAACTTTTCATGGCAAGTTGTTCCTTTGGTTCATTGTCCTCACGGTTAGGAACTTTTTTCTTAATTCCAGGTTGCTTCTCTCCTTGATTAGTTTCCATCAATTGTTTCTTGCCCTGTCTTCTGGTGCTTCGGAAAATAAGTTGACCCCTTCCTCCTTGTGGCAACCTCTCGAATAATACAATACTGCTATCATATCCCCCCTAGTCTTTCTTTTCTCTAGACTAGACAAACCCAAATACTGCGACCGTTCTTCATGTTTTTGTCTCCAGTCATTTAATCATCTTAGTTGCTCTTCTTTGCATTTTTTCCAAAGCTTCAACATCTTTTTTCTAATGTGGTAACCAAAACTGGATGCAGTATTCTAGATGTGGCCTTACTAAGGCTTTGTAAAGTGATATTAATACTTACTGCACATGATTTTGATTCTATGCCTCTGTTTATACAACCAAAGATTGTATTAACTTTTCTTTTAACTCCAAGGTTCCTCTCACAGTAACTGTTTTTGAGCTGGGTTTTAACAGATAACAGATAATCAGAGTTAGAAGGGATCTTATAGGTCATTCTAGTGGTCCAACCCCCCACCCAAGCAGGAGACCCTACACCATTTCTGACAAATGGCAGTCCAATCACTTCTTAAAAGTCTCAAGTGATGATGCTCCCACAACTTCCGAGGGCAAGCTGTTCCATTGGTTGATTGTTCTCACTGTCAGAAAGTTTCTCCTTATTTCCAAGTTAAATCTCTCCTTGTTCAGTTTCCATCCATTATTCCTTGTCTTGGGTTTTGCCTAATCAGTACTCGTAACTTTGGTTTTTCCTGCTTCAGTGTACTTTTCTTTTCTCCACATTAAATTTTGGTTTTTTTTAAAAGGACCCATTGTTCCAATCTGTCCAGATCTTTTTGGATCCTGAGCTTGTCTTCTGGGGTATTGGCTATTCCTGCCAGCTTAGTGTCATCTGCAAACTTAATGAATTCCCCTTCTATTGCCCCATGTAAGTCATTTATGAAGATATTGAAGAGTACTGGGCTTAAGACGGAACCTTGTGGTATTCCACTGCTCACTTCCCTCCATGTAGATGTAGTACCGTTAAGGACTCGTTGAGTACAGTTTGTCAGCCAGTTACAAATCCATCTGCTGGTGATGCTGTCTATCTCACATTTTCTAGCATACCGAGAAGTAGGTTGTGATCTACTTTGTCAAAAGCCTTGCTGAAGTCTTAAGTATATTACGTCCACAGCATTTTGCTGGTTTAATAATTTAGTTACTTTGTCAAAGAATAAAATAAGATTGGTCTGGCATGATCTGTTTTTAACAAACCCATGTTGGCTTTTAGTTATAACTTTATTTGTTTCTAGATAGTCACAGATCTGTTTTTGATGATCTTTTCCATTATCGTCCCAGGTATTGATGTTTAGACTTATTGGTCTGTAGTTTCCTAGGTCTGTTCCCCCTCCGTTTTTTTTTTTTTGAAGATGGGAACCATTTTCTTTCATGAAGAAAGAAGTGTACTTTGTGAGATCACACAAGAACAAGTGATTTGTATGTGAAATCACATATAAATACATGTGATTTATATACACAACTTTAACAGTGAGATTAAATGGTGAAATACTCATGCAAGTCAGGATATTTAGCAGGCACAATGCAAATTCCACAGCCTCATCTACTGAAGGCTTGGAGGCTATCCAGATAATGTGCATTGGGTTTAATTTCATTAATTTCAAGTGGAACTTAAGTGTGCTTAACTTTCTCCAGTATGCACCCAGAGGCTGAAAGCCAAAGAAAGCAAAACATGCAAAATCTCACTGAAATCAACTGGAACAGCCAACTAGCCTTGTAATGTCTGCACTGACATGCCAATGGAACTTGCTCTTGCCACTTTATACATGTCTAAAAATCTTTTGTGCAGCTTTCTAATTTTTATGATTGGTTTTTCCTTCTGTATCAAAGTATTGAGGACTTTCCTTCTGCAGAGAGATTGGCCAAAATAGCATCTCCATTTAATTATAACTGATTAATCAATGTCTCAGTTCTGGAGGTCTAAATAGTGATATTCATTTAGTCCCAGCATGTCTATTCAGCCATACACTAACGAGTTCCCTGTGGGAATTTGGCATGTGTTTACTACTCTGACTTCTGACCTGCTTGCAGCTGTATATTTATATTCTACATTTAAGCATTCAGCTGCATGTTGTTTCAATTAGGTTCTTACCATGTGTTTGCTATCGGATGGTATCATTCAAAATGAAGTACACTTGGAACACATTAAAATAGCTAATTTACTTCATTATTCATATACTTTAAAGTTTTTTTTAAAACATTATTGTGTTATATGAATGTGATGTCTTGTATAGGGGGTGGGGGGAAGGGGAGTCACCGTTTGAAAGTTGTTAAAATTCTTTCATAGAATTATTTCACTTTCATTCTTACTGGGTTGCCCAACATTAATTATTCAATGAAAGAGGACAAGAAGAAAGATAACTGAAAAGAAGGCTGCAGTGACATAGCACAAGATTTCAAACAGAGAACATGGGACAATTCAAATATATTTCACAAGAAATTATGTCATGGAGCTGTAATAGTCCACAAATTCATACAGAATATACATTCATTAAGTATTCCAAAAATACTCTTTTTCTGGATGAAGGTATTTATTTATTTCAGCCTTTATTATTTTTAGAAACAACTCAAAGCAACAGCAAGCATATCCAACACCTATTTGCCCTATTTTCTTTCCAATAATAACCCTGTGAGTGGGTTGAGCTGAGAGAGAGGGACTGGCCCAAAGTTACCCAGCTGGCTTCATGGCTAAGGCAGGACTTCAACTCATAGTCTTTTGCTTTTTGGCCTAGTGCCTTAATCAGTACACCAAACTGGCTCTTTAGCCAGTTGTTTGAACTTGAGTGAGATTGTAAAATGGTTTTGGAAACGTTTCTCAAGTCAAAACAATCCTATGTTAGCTGCAGGCAAACACATCTTTGTGAGGGAGATGGGTGATTTCAAAATTTGATGAATAAATAAATTTGTTTAAAGAAAAAACTTAAAATAAAGCTATACACCAGTGATTAAATGTTCCATAACATCCATTGGCAAAGCAAATATATCCATAAAAATATACAATAATATTTTTAAAGACTTCTTCTATGTCTTCAAAAGATACATTAAAGAAAATTATCAAAACTGTAAATTCTTTGGGGGACATGTGCTCAAACAATGAAATCTCATTTGTTGCAAAATAAGTGCACAATTTGCAAAGAATTGCTTGTGTAAGACTGCTTTCATTTGATCAGTTATTGTGCTAATGTAGCTATTAATTATTTAAATTACATTAATTTTATTTTATTTTTTATATTATTTCATTTGTACAATTTTGGACACCAGAAAAAAACAACCAGAAATTACAGGATAAAAGGAAACATAGAAAGTAGAATACAACAGTGATTTCCTATTAAGATTATATTGAAAAAAATGAAACATCTATTATGGGAAATCGAAACAGAAGTACAGTATGACCCTCTGAAATGACTTTGTATGTGTAGCTCACAATTCTATTTAAATACTACAAAAATAAAGAAACAAGGATGGTGTGTGGCCATAAGAATTGGTTGTCCATATAGCTTGTCCCAACAAAGTTCTTATTCTAGTACTATTTTATCTGGAGATTGCCTGGACCTGTTGAGGCTTTAAAAGGTATTAAAATCTCATGTATTTATCTTTATGATTCTCTCTATTTAACCTAATTACCTGATGTTCAGAATATATAAACAAATGTGTCATATTTAAATGCCACCACTGATTCTACAAAGACTGGCAAGCATTTACAACAAAAGAAACATAAAATCCTTAAAGTGGTAAAATCAATGAAACATCACCTCACTTTCACATGGCATCTTTATTAAGTGGCCAACCCCATTTGCCATTGTCTTCTTCCCAGGTCTGAGAGAATATAACTGGTCCAAGGTCACCCAGCTGCCTTTGTACCTAATTAGACTAGAATTCACAGTCTCCTACTTTTTAGCTTGGGGCCTTAACCACTATACTAAATTGGCTCTCTCATAGCATATATTGTATAGTATACAACGAGTGTCCTTCTGTAATGTAACATTGTATAAATCTTTTAATCAGAATTCATCTCTGTCCAGCTTTACAAAATCATATCTTAATTAAGAATAAACTGATTTTTTTATATTATAGGAGAGGATCAATTTATTTTCAGTGTGGGAGGAAACAAAGATCCTGATGTCAAAACTGGAAATTGAAGAGATAATAATCATCAAACCTAACTATTCTCTCTAACTCATATTTTAAGAAGTCTGCTCTATTCCTTAAGCTCCCCTTCCTAAAAACCTGCATAATGGTTAACATGCCGGTATGAGGTAATATCTGTTTTCTTTCCTTATTTCCACTTGGTCTTCTCTCTAGAGCAGTAGCCTTTGCACTGGGTGGAAATAATTTTATTTGGAGCACATATTTAACTGAACTGATCTAATTCATATTTACAAAACTGCTACATAGATTGGACCTTTTAAAAATATTTCAAGTTTTCAATTCAAAACTTAAATACATATCCTCAATACATATCTGCTAGTTGATGGGATATATGGAACAAATTATTTGTTACAAAATAGGAAAGTTTGTGTGTATTTGTATGTTTAGATTTATATCTTAGTCTATAAAAATTGAAATTGTTAAGATATAAAGTGAGCTATCATTCCCTAAGTAAAAAAGTTATTGTGAGAGACTAAAGAATCATTGGTGAGTGGGTTAAAATTGGAGGATTTGTATGGAATGGTTCAAAAATATGCCAAATGCCTTTTATTTAATTAAGAGATATTTAGTGGCAAAGAATCAAAGATTCTATTTAATTTTTTTAAAAGGAGGGATTCGGTGACATCACTCATATGAATGAGTGTTTTTAAGTGTCAAATAATTAACTTTCCATTACTTATATTATTATAAGATCTTTGTAACTGCTTCATTATAAGGTTAAATTCTTGACATAATCATCTCACCAAGAATGGCACCATTATGAAAAGATGGGATTTTTATGGGAATTTTGCAACGATAAATGCATAAATGCACTGAAATTAAGCCTCTGAAAACTAACCAGGCATTCACAAAAATTATTTTACAAGTCTGCCATGACTAGAGAAAATCAACTTCTGTTGATAACAGTATCTCATAAATAGACATGTGACTCATTCCTCAGGTGTATTGAAAATGTATGCTAAAATAAGGAGGATAAAGAAGTTTGGACAGACATGTAAATATGAGAAGCAGCCCCAACCCATATCCCAAATGAAGCTGGAAGATTCTGGCTAACTGGTTTTCCTGTATTACAGCCAAAAAGAAATTTCTAAACAGAATAATAAATGAAGAAGAAATAAGGTTTATGACTTGACCTGGCTTCAGATTTTGTTTGTAGTTCTGGGAAAGCAGCATGTCCTTGGACAATATGCTCTAGCTTAAGAAAAGAAAAGAAAATGAAAAAAATATATTGATTTTTTGATTGAAAATAGTTTAATATTTTTGAAATATGATTACCTGGGTGACAGATTTGTTTCAGCAACTACACGCTCTGCCAATATGTAATTGTTACAATAATTGTAGCTTGTCATTTTATTTATAAAGCAAGGCCCTACTACAATTAACCCTTACATTATCTTTTCATACAAGGTAATTCAACCTACAGCAATTACTGCTGTAATTGTGAAATGTGATGAAGGCCCCAAACCTTCAACAAAATTACTTTTGATTTATTCCCCAGTATACTGTTTACAAGTCCCTTAACATTAAATACAGACAATATGTATGTGCATTTTATGTCTGCATACTTGAAATATGCAGCAGATTATTATTTCTACACACATCTCAGAACTGTAAGTTCTGTTGAACTATATGAATCTGGAATACGCTACAGGAGATAAGTATAGAATTGTGCAGACAGTCTAAAACATAAAAATAAATTTACTGTATTTTTCGCACTATAAGACGCACCTGACCATAAGACAAACCTAGGTTTAGAGGAGGAAAACAGGCAATGACAAAGACAGAAGAGGCAGGGTTCAGCGCTGTAAAAGGACCCCGCCACTGCGGCCTGTAATTTTTGCTCCATAAGATGCACAGACATTTCCATCCACTTTTTTGTGTGGGGGAGCGTGTCTTATGGAGCAAAAAAAAATGGTAATCTTGAACTATAACTGAAGATGGCATAAGTTCAAATTTCTATTCAGTCCTGCAGCTCAGGAAACTTAGGCCAGTCATTTTCTCTCAATCCAATCCACTAACAATTTGTTCTGAGGATAAACTGAAGGATGAACCCAAGATTTATTATTTTAATATCTTGCAATAGTTGTTTCACGCAGTTTAAATGGGAACTTTAGAAGGCATACCCCTATATTCTCGGCCATTCTGCAAAAAAATAAATTACATTAATCCAACTTCAAGGTTACCAGAAAATGATCACTGAAGCTAAGTATTCTTCTTTCAAATAGGATATGATTGGTTATTGGCTAAAGCTGACAAACAGCCCTCCATTCCATTATATGTTCAGCGATCCAGCATTAATACTAGATCCAGGAAGATTCAAACTTGATTCTTGAGGAATCAATATTAGGAAACTACAGTTCCCTTCAAGAGCAGGCATTTTTCCTAATCATTCAAGTTCAGCACATGAATCAGTAAGCAAAGGTGTACTAGACATATACATTTAATAATTAATAAATAAGTAGAATTTCTATTCCCAAACATATTTAAAATCAAAACAAAACAAAATGAAGCTCTCAATGACTGAAATGAACATCTCTGTGATGAAAAAGTTAAATCTCATCTGCACCTCTATAACTGTCTGGTTTGGTTCTGCAACCCAACAGGACAGACACAGACTTCAGAGAGTAATTAGGACTGCAGAAAATACAATTACTACCAACCTGCTTTCAATCGAGGAGCTATATACTGCATGAGTCAAAAAGAGAGCTGTGAAAATATTTACAGACCCCTCACATCCCGGACATAAACTGTTTCAACTCCTTCCCTCAAAATGACGCTATAGAGCACTGCACACCAGAACAGCTAGACACAAGGACATTTTTTTCCCCAAAAGCCATCACTCTGCTAAACAAATAATTCCCTCAACACTGTCCAACTATTTACAAAGTCTGCACTACTATTACTGTTAATCTTCTCATTACTCCTTATCACCCCTCCCCCTCCCATTGTGACTGTATGACTGTAACTTTGTCACTTGTATCCTTACGATTTATATTGACTGTTTCCTAGTATAGTTTGATTGTTTATTGTACCCTATGACTACCATTAAGTGTTGGACCTTATGATGTGTTGTACCTTATGAACATCCAATAGCTACAAACCACATCTCTACCCAACAACCACAACCCAATCCACAAAAAAACATAAGCCAGACAAATAATGATATCCCAATCCTCATCAGAGAAGCTGTTGAACATGAACGGAAACATCCAAATGCCATCTTATTTGGTCTAAAGGACATAAGTGACAGTGATGACATCACAACTGTCCGAAACATTATCAGTGATTATCAAGCATCAACCATCTCTCCTGATGAAATACTTGACATTTCCCGCATTGGCCAAGAGCTCAAAAACCGAGAAGGCTCTGTGGCCCCACGCTTCTGCAGGGTCATTTGCAAAAATGAATCAAGCAAACGTAAATTCATTTATACTATAAATTCACTTGCCAAAACCAACACCAACCATAAGAACCTCCATTCTCGCCCTGACCTAACCATACAGCAACATGCCCGCTCCCATGTACTCCGCACTGAACTCAAAAAACGTCTAGACAATGGTGAGAAGGACCTGTACATTGACTACCATGCTGACTGTATCAAAAGTAAGTCACACAACCCGCAACTCAGCTTTAACCTTCAACCACAACCCTACCTCAACCAATCCACCATCACCCAAGACTAGGCACGCACGCCCCTAACTATCTCAATTCCAACTACTGCTGGCCTTAAATGCAAGCTACTCAATGCAAGAAGCCTTGTCAATAAAATACCTGAATTTCTCCTCTTACTAAATATGGCTAAATTCGACATCATATTTGTCTGTGAAACATGGCTCAACGCATCTCTCCCTGACTCCATTACCACAGTAAGAGACTATCATGTTTACCGATCCGATCATGAAATCCGTAGAGGAGGTGGTGTTGCTATCTTCTATAAAAAGTCCTTACATCTAAAAAACATCCAGGTTACCCAGGAGCTTGCTATTCCTGAGACCATCATCTGTGAACTATCCTTAAATATCACATTTCGATTCTTACTATGTTACAGAGCACCTGATTATGACATCGAACATGCAAACAAGCTAAATACACTACTAACATGGGCAGCATCCTGCCCACATGCTTTTATCTTTCTTGGTGACTTCAATCTACCTCATATTGACTGGACCCTAAATTAATGTACAACTGAACCCATACACGCAACCTTCTACAATGCTTTTACAAATCTGGGACTGGAACAACTAGTAACCAACAACACTAGACTAAACAACTGCCTCGATCTCATCTTCTGCAATAGTTTGAATTTAATTTACGGAATACAAACTAAAGAACCCTTTTCCAGCAGTGACCACAATATGATTGACTTTTGTCTCAACATACGCCCACACAAAAATCATCACAATGACATAATCCCCAATTATAACTTCAAAAAAGGCAACTATGATCTTATAGACAACGATCTCTCATCCCTTGATTGGCAATCTCTATTCGCTGGATGCAATATTGTTGAAGACCATTACAACATATTTTTACTTGAAGTCAAAAGAGTCATCAAACTATATGTACCAACAACAACTCCCCCCCCCAAAAAAAAAAACTGATTACCCATAACAATAAGGAAACTTCAATCCAAAAAGAGATCACTCTGGTGGAAAAACAAATCTGGTCACGTTGCCAATTTCAAAAGCAGGTACAAAAATTTATGCCACCAGATAAAGATTGAATGCACCAATTATCACATTAAACAAGAGGAAAATCTTCTACGCACCAATTCCACCCACGCTTTTTACAATTTTATAAACAACAAACTAAAAGACTCAAGGTCCATCCCACCCCTGATAGGACTTAATAGTAAAACGATGACACCATTAAAGCCAACATCTTTAACACATTCTTCGGCTCAGTATTTGTAAACAGCAATGGATCATGTCCAGTATTTCCTAGCCGAACCACAGACAACGACAATGATCTAATACATATCGATTTTACTGAAGACAATGTTGAAAAAGCACTACGCAATCTAAAACCATCTCTATCTATTGGACCGGACGGAATATGTGCTACTTCTTAAAAAAGCTATCCACTGCCATAGCCGAACCTCTGAGCATAATCTTTGAAAAATCTTTCAGGACCAGCTCCTTGCCTAACCTATGGTCACAAGCCACGGTCATCCCCACCTTCAAAAAGGGAGACCCCAGCCTAGTTGAAAATTACAGACCAATCTCCTTATGCTGCGTCACCTGTAAAATCATGGAATCAATTATTAACCAATCCATTATCCTCCACTTAGAGACAAACAACCTACTCTCCAATAAACAATTTGGTTTCAGGAAAAAACTACCCTGTAATCTGCAACTCTTACACTGCAAAAACATATGGACTACACAACTCGATCAGGGCAAAACAATAGATGCAATCTACATAGACTTCTGTAAAGCCTTTGATTCAGTGGTACATGACAAACTACTCTTAAAACTAAAATCTTATGGTATCTCTGGACAACTGCATAACTGGATAGAAGCATTCCTGTCAAACAGACAACAAATGGTCAAAATTGGGAGTGTCCTATCAAATTCTGTACCTGTCAATAGTGGTGTCCCCCAAGGCAGTGTTCTAGGACCAACTCTCTTCATACTCTACGTAAATGACCTCTGTGATCATATTAAGAGCAACTGTGTTCTTTTCGCTGATGATGTAAAGCTGTTCAATACCACAGACAATACTGCTACCCTTCAAAAAGATCTTGACTATGTATCAGAATGGTCAAACAAATGGCAACTTCAGATCTCAACAAATAAATGCTCTGTCTTACATATTGGCAAAAAAAAATCAGAAAATAAAATACAAGCTGAATAGTGAAGATCTTGTTGATGATCCAAGCTCTGTAAAGGACCTTGGAGTACTCATCTCTAATGATCTAAGTGCTAGAGCCCACTGTAACTACATAGCCAAAAAGCCATTAAGAGTTGTTAACCTAATCCTATGTAGCTTTTTCTCTGGTAATATCACACTGCTAACTAGAGCATACAAAACATTTGCTAGACCAATACTCGAATACAGCTCATCAGTCTGGAACCCACATTACGTATCTAATATTAGCACAATTGAGAAAGTCCAGAAATATTTCACAAGAAGAGTTCTCCACTCCTCTGCTCGTTGCAGAATACCTTATGCCACCAGACTTGAAATTCTAGACCTAGAAAACCTTGAATTATGCCGTCTTCGGTCTGATCTAAGTATGGTATATAAAACCATATATTGCAATGACTTACCTATCAATGAATACTTCAGCTTCAACCATAACAACACAAGAGCACACAATAGATACAAACTCAAGGTTAACCGCACCAAACTTGATTGCAGGAAATACGACTTCAGCAACAGAATGGTCAATGTCTGGAATACTCTACCTGACTCTGTGGCTTCTTCCCCAAACCCCAAAAACTTTAACCTTAGACTGTCTACTATTGACCTCACCCCTTTCCTAAGAGGTCTGTGGGGGCCGTGCATAAGTGCACCAACGTGCCTACCGTCCCTGTCCTATTGTTTATTTTTCTTATATGTACCCATTTCATGTATTCATAACTATGTATATACTTATACCTATTATCTTGAATGTATCTTTTCTTTTATGTATACAGGGAGTATTTGCAGCAAGACAAATTCCTTGTTTGTCCAACCACACTTGGCCAATAAAGAATTCTATTCTATTCTATTCTATTCTATTCTATTCTATTCTATTCTATTCTATTCTATTCTATTCTATTAAATGCTAAGTCACCCAATATTAGTTCATATGTATGATCCACAGCAAAGAAACTAACTTTGCTAATGAATGTATTCATTTACTTGAAAAATGTATCAGCAGGATGTGAAAGACAGTATACAAAAATAAGGTAATAAATAATTATGTGTCTATATTAAGAAGATACAATAGGAGAGTAGTTTCTTTTTTATCTTTCTTTTGCAAATAGAATTCAGTCCAGAGCTAAAATCTATTTCATGACACCATGAATAAGGCAAATCTACTTCCTATGGCACATGAGGGATGAATACAGTTATCACCCTCTCTTCCATGATTCACAGTAGGGAAATTTACTATGGATTTGCTGTAGATACTAAAATTATTTCAAAGTTTGAACTGTCACATAAGTTTATAATTCTAACCATTATTATACAATATCACCTATTGCATGTTTTCAATTAACAAATGTGAAGATAATGGTGTAGCTTAAATATAACTAAAAAGATAAATGGAACTAAAAATTAGACCTACCAGTTTCCCTGTTACACTTTGACCTCCTTCATTTAGCCACAATCCTGGAACCATTGCTGAATAATAGGGTCCCCAAACACCAGAGACAAATATAGGGGACTTGCTAACCTGAAAAGAAAATGTAAATGTAATTATGCAAGCTATGCAAGAGTTCAAGCATTACAAAGTTACAGGTTTATGGGTAGAAGCTTGGAAAAGTATGTGAACCATACAGGTAATTCCTTGCTTGAAGCAAAGACGCCAAAGGGAAACTAGTGGCAAAGAAAGAGAAGCAACATAGAAGCAAGACAGAAATGTGAGAAATTGCTCTAAAATGCACATAATCGTTCTTGAGACTGCAGCATCTTCTCAGTAACAACTGTCAGAGATTTGAGAGATTTCAGTATTGATAGCAAATGCATGTATGGCAGCATCATGGCCATATTTGCAAACTATATAGCTCAATTTGATCAACTGTTGAGATCATCAAGTAATTTAAAGATAAAAACATTTATCTCTAAGAAGACAAATTCCGTGTGTACCCAATCAAACTGGTCAATAAAGAATATTCCTATTCTTTCCTATTTAGAAAAAGAAAGCAGGGGTTTTGGAGTTGTCTTTCAAGTATCAACCATGATCAATCATCAAGGAATATTATTCCTAACTGAATTAAAATCTACTGCATTTATATTTGAGATTATGATTACTTCTAAATTTGCACACATACATCTGCACCATCATGTGTACACTTTATGGACATTTCTTATTTCATATTCTCTCTGCCAATACAACAAATAAAATTTTCCCATTTTTTTCTCAAAGAACCTTTGTGAGTGTGTGTGTGTGTGTGTGTGTGTGTGTGCGTGTGTATGTGATGTTCTGACACAGAGGTGATATTCAGCAGGTTCTGAACAGGTCTGGAGAACCGGTAGTGGAAATTTTGAGTAGTTCAGAGAACCAGCAAATACCACCTTCTGACTGGAGATTTTACAGTATCCTTCCCTTGCCATGTCCACCAAGCCACCAAGCCACCCCCATAGAACCGGTAGTAAAAAAAATTGAATCCCACCACTGTTCTGACAATAACTAGCGCAAGGACAAAGTATAAATAGAAATAAGAAGGTATGAATCAAAGAAGCTATATTTCAAGTTTTTACAGGTTACTTGACACCCAATTATTAATGAGACAAGTGCAAATCCTCTTTTACAATATGCAAAAAATGAATAAACAAAGCACATAATGATAACTGGCCACCTTATTTTAGAACTGTGCCAAAATTATTGGTCACTTGCAGTTGTTTTTAATCTAGCTCTGGAAAAGTACAATTTGCAACACTTCCAGATTACGTGACCTGAAGGTGGAATAAAAAATAAATTCCTTTTTACTATCTGGAACTCTGAACATAAACACAAAAACTTCCAAAATTTATTTTTCTGAACGACTCCAGGAAGGTCTAAATATTATATGACCTAACTCATTATTTGCCATCTTCCATAAATGATTGGTTCATTGTTCCCAAAGCTACCTGAGTCTTTGCCAATCCTCAAAAGGAAAGTTAAATTAAAAGACTATAATTGGTTCTGCTGGGACACCATCAGGTTTTGAATATCTGCACCCCAGCTTGGTATTTTACAGAATACCCACAATAATTTACCAGGGTATTTCTGTCACTAGCTGATCTCCACTTACCCACTCAGATGTTCATATCATCTTACTCCTGAAATACCATTTGAATGCATTCCAAAAAACTATCAACAAATCTGCAGAGCAATTAAGATTTGCACATTAGTACATCTTGAGCATAGACAATGGGTGTGGAGCTTTTCCTCTGTACAAGGATTTTCTTTCCTTCCGCCAGAACTCCACTGGGATCTTTTAAAAATCCTGGAATTTGGCAGAGGGCCACTTCTTCTTTCCAATAGATTTCTCCAGGGTTTTACATGCAAATATATTCTGCAGATTTACCATTCTCACAATTAGTAATGGCTTCCATAGAAGGGAGGTCCCAACAGAAAGGGATGAATAGCTATTAAATATAAGGGCTGTGAACATTTCAAATTCTACAAATCGAAAAGTATGCATAAAAAACAGCAATAAAACATACCATAGATTGAGCCACATGTAGACGCATGAAAATAGCACCTACGACAACTATTTAAAGTAGCAGAATCTTTTCCCAAAGTTGTAAATCCAAATCTGCCAGGTGAATGAATGCTGAAATACTAAACCAGGCCATATCTAATTTACAACATGTACACTGAGGAACTGAAGCACAATGGCATATTTTGTGGCATGTTTAAGTGCATTTGAGCTCCTCTTTCCATTTTACTTTCAGTAATTCCATCTTTTGAAATACCTTTTGAGTTAAATGCTGAACCAGCCTGATTATTAATCCAAATTTAATTTTAAGAATCACACATTTTGTAGCATTTTAAAATGTCTTGGGTTGGCAGGCTTTTGAAAGTGTTTTTGTTGAGTATGATATACCTTTGTAAATTAGTGTAACAAAAAAACTAAACGGTATTTGGAAATATTTCCACATCATTAAATGTATTAAATGTTATCTGCACTGTAAATATTATGATTTTTATTCAGTATTTTGTCATCTCATTCAATATGACAAAATCACTTTCAATGCAATCCAGAATAAAAAAAGAACATACAATGAAATTGGTGGGAACTATATAAGATTTCCTGACAGCCAGATACCTTCCTCAGGGACAGGCATAAAGCTCGATTTTATTTTAAATATTTATAGCCTATCCACTATTCTGAAGACCTCACAATAAAATATAGACCATGAAAAAGAAACATAAAGCAGTAAAACCAACTCAATAGGTAATAATGTAACTAAAACATTTTTTTTAAATGCACAATTATAAGTACAACAACAAGCAGCATTATTAAACAAAAAACATTGTATAACCATGACTAAGCTTTGAATGTGAGAATTAAGTTCTTCCTCTAGTATTGATAGATATCAGTACCATCCTGACTTGCAGTAGTGGCCACAATAGAAAATACGTCTCTGATAGTGAATGGTCATTTAAAAGATTTTTTTTTCCTGTAAACCTTAATATTTGAGTAAGCTCACATTGAGAAAGATTTATGCTCAAGTTTCATGGTTCTGAAATAATAAGGGACTCAGCCATTCTGAGATTTTTTAAAAGTACGATTGGTAGTGCATAGGTAGGCAATGCAGTTCTTTTAGGACAGATGCTATGTTAAATCTGAAAGGAGTTCTGGATAATAACCTTACTGTTGAATTGTACGAGTGCAATTTCTGAGTCAAATTTAAAATGCACTTATATGCTACCTCAAATTTAATTTCTTTAGTCGGGGAAGCATATTATAGAATTGTGAGTTCAGAGAATACAGTGATAAAATAATTGATCAATACAAAATTTTGGGAAATATAAGGATTTTTGTAAGGAAAAAAATAGATAGTATACAAATAGTCTATTTGACATATGACAGAAAAGTTCACCTAATTTTTTTCCATACCTTTAATCTTTACTATTGATACTATTATAATCAGTAATACTGATACCATGCTATTGATCTTTCTGCATCCTGATTTTAGTGTAGGGAACACGAGAGTGCACAGAATAAATGCAAGAAAGTGGGTTTGAGTTTTATTATTTATTACAGTAGAACCTTGGGTTGTGACCGTAATCCATTCCAGGACTTCGGTCACAACCACATTTGGTCCTGAGAGGAAGCACAATTGACTGTGCATGCACGGACAAAAAAAAAATGGCACCGAAGGGGAAATCACTGCGGCAGGGAAAATCACCACAGCTGTGATTAGTCGCCACCTGAAGATGTGTTCGCAACCAGAAGCAAAACTTTTCTGAAAATTTTGGTCATCACCTGATTTGGTCATGAACAGAAGCGTTCACGACCCAAGGTTCCACTGGATTAGGATAATCATATTGTCTATTCCTACAAGGAATCACCTTACATGCATCATGCCCTGCCACATACATTGGACAGACCAATAGAAGAATAAGTACCCACCTAGATGAACACAAAAATGCAGTAAAAAAGCTGGAACACGCTTCCTCACTAGTACAACACATGAAAGCCACAGGTCATAGCATCGACTTCAATGGCATCAAAACCCTAGCCACTATAGAAAACCACAGCTACAGAATTATCAGAGAAGCCACAGAGATTGAAAAAAGATCTGAAAGCATGAATAGAAGAGATGACCCCACCAGACTGTCAATTATCTGGAAGCCTGCACTCTCAAACAAAAAAATCTCCACACCACAAGCCAGGCAAACACCTGGGCACAAACAGACTCCCCCTGATACCTCCAGCTCAAACACACCCCAACCAGGCACCCAGATGAAACCTAGCTTCCTAATAAACAATAGCCGTCCGTTTACTCGGAGCCAAGCTGCACTAAAAGCCTCCAATTTTGAACACAATGTTGCCAGCCAATCAAGACAAAAAAAGCCACAAAACAGACAGAAGATATTAGAAACACCAATCAAGCAGAACACAGCAAACTCCAAGACCAATAAACACAGACCAAGACTCCCAACCAATCAGGATGAAGAAAAAAACCATTCTGGCACAGCAGTAGGCTAGCCCCAAATTTAAAACTGAAACAACTGTAAAAGTCTGACTCACAGACGAACACAATACAGAAGCCTGATGATGGCAGATGAGATTCTGCCGAAACGTTACTACAACTTTAAAAGCACAACTATAATGACGTGGGAAAATACCCGAACAAAGCTGAATACCATACATGTAAGTACCCGCGAACACTTAAGAAAACTATATATATATATATATTTCCCAGAGTTACTACATGAGATGGCAGCTATATAAGATAAAAATCTAAAAATTTCTCCATCTTTTCTGATCATTATTTTGACCGGAATGACAGCGTCCTCAGACATCTGAAGAAAAACACTGCAGTTTCTGTGGTTGTCTGTTCTTCATTTGTAATCCATTTTAAACCACTGAATTAACCAGGGACATATTTCTCTCTTGGTTTGGAATATTTCAACTGTTGTGAAGGTTCAATGCTTATGGTAAGATTGAGAAAAGAAAAAAGAGTCATGTGGGAGGACTTAACCTCAATCTACTCCCTCCAAGATTTATACTAATA